CAGGGGGTATGTGACAATTCCAGAGTGTAAATTGCCATTTTGTTGTGGCTATTCAGTTTCCTGGCAAGGAGAAGGGGAGGATGGACCGTGAAACTAGGAACGAATTGGTAAATAGTGCCACTTAGCATGGCATATGGCGCGTTTGGAGAGCTGAACGCTGACACCAACAAATTGACGATTTCATACCAATTTCAGAGTTACATTCGCCACACACGTTGTAACGCAGAATTTAAACCAGTATTCATCCACTTGTTAAAAGTTCAAGATTTGCGTACCCTGCTGTGGAGGGATTAAAATAACTAATTAAAGGTACAGGGTGATAAATAGTTTAGACATTTAATTAGTCTAAATATTTACAACGACGAGCTGCTATAAAGTGCTGAGACGTTTTTATTTTATTTTACAATTTCTAACATGCCTTGATTCTTGTTATTTATTTTTTAGAGTTTGTGATTTTGATCAAATCGAGGAAGGCAGCATTTCTGCTGAGGGGACACATATTTTTGTTTTACAAAATATGGAGCGAGGAAAATCGGAGGAACGCCCCATGGCTTTTCACTTGTACCTTTCAATTTTCCACTTTGGTCAGATAAAGGGAAAACCCTGGGAAAAACTTGGCCAGCAACTGGTCCTTCCTTTTGCGCCCACAGCAAAAACAAAACACACTTTAAGTGGAGGCAGTTTGCGTTTTGTTGCCATATGGGATTTGGCTTAAAATGTGTCTTCTTTTGAATCAGTAAACCGCAGGTCCCTCGCCCGCCAGGGATGTTGATGTTGACAGTTCTGGTCTTATTTTATTATTATTTCCATGGACCTAAAATAGTCTCCATTAGTTATTTCAATTATCCATTTAATTATCACGTTTAGAATTAGGCCGAATTGTTTTTTGAAAGACCACTAATACATGATTGGTCCTGTCATTGTGGAATGTCGATGTGATTATTAACAGACAAAATGAATGACCATCTTTATCTGTATCTACTAACTGTCAATGCAGCCGGGCCTCTTTCATCAATGACAATTAGTTGGAGTTAACTTTTACCCCATGTGCTATTGTTCAAAACTATCTGTGGGTTTAATCAACAGAGGCTGGCGTTGTGTGTAAAGAGTTGGATCTCACCAACAGGACTATATCTGTACTCCACAGTCATAAATCCATTAAACTGAAACTAAAAATGCGGTTGACTACATTTAGACTAGATAACTTTTCCAGTACAAGCGAACATACTGATATTGCAAACAAGCAATTTAAGAAGATGATAGTGTCGATCCATCAGTGGGACTCAGCACTGAGGTAATGGGCTTATAGCAATACAGAGAAAAGGCTAAATAATTTCCTCATAGGTTTGTTTTTGATATGCTTTTAATCTCAAATCAAACGCTTAATTTCCACGTTGGTCATACAACTGTTGTTTTACGCACGGCTAAATACAGTGTGCCAGAGGATGCTTACTTATTCTCATTGAAATCTTGCTCAAGTGGTTCAGAGTAAATGGCAGATGTTTTGCAATTCAAGGCGCATCAATACCCATGCGCTTTAGTGTTTAACAATGGCTCTCCCCTTTTGTTAGGCACTTGTGTCTTTCAGTTCAGATCTCGACAAAGGCTTCATCCTCCAGCGAGTTATAAAGTTACTTTCCAGCCAGTTCATTTCGGCCCTTGAGAAAACCTTAAGCGATGTTAATGTGGACCTCTGGTCTTTTCATGCAGTAACCCCGGCACACACAGGCAAACAGCGCCCATTGTATTCCCAAACCAAAGTAAGAAGTCTTTAAATAACCCGAGGACCAGTCTATAGAAATTCATGATGCGATTTCTATTTGATGTTTGATCAGAGCGTAGTCAACAGGTCCGTCGCGTGGCTTTTCAGAAAATCCTGTCTATATTTCTAATATTTTTCCAGCGCACCTGTCCATGTACCTGCTCTTTTTATTGTGACCTTGTTTCTCACAAAGAGCGTTTTGGTCACACCAGTGGTGCCTCAAGTCCATCTGAATGGAAGGCGGTACATCGATTTGCTCCGCTCACGGTGCGCCAAATTATGGGCCTGTGTTTGCATATTTTAACAGCGTTCCGATACCCAGGCATGGTATAGGCTGAAAATACACGCATCTACAATAAACAAACGAAATTCGTTACGACATTGGTCTTTTTAAAATTATTTTCTGCAAAATACAATGACCTACAGCGTAAAACTAAAGCCTATTTAATTATTTAATATATAAATATATGTCATCGGAATGCATAATGTTAGGCCTAATGTGTTTATTTCATAGCAAGTGCTGTGGGATTACAATAATATACATTTGCATGTGTCTAAAATATAGCATTATTTGTTGTCTATTGTTATTCGTAAACATACTTAGAATCTACATATAGTGTTTTCTTCAGAAGTAGCCTAAATGGAAGATGTAGATAACCTCTGCATTTCTGCTTCTGTTATACCGTTAGGGTATATCCATTGGCTTGCAAATGTCTCACTTTCCCTCTACGAAGAAAATAGTTTATTGTAGTAATTGCATAATTGCTTCACTAATTGTTGTTAACAAGTTCCCCAATAGTCCAATTATTACAGCAGCATTGTCAGGTCCCCGCCGGCAGGCATCCATGACAAAGGTCCGATAGGGTTAATGAATGACCTGGGGCTGAAAAGTGAAAGTAGAGCGAGAGCCCGAGCCCTTTTATAAACATACACTTAACTTGTCATTTAATGGCACTTGTATTATTATGTCCACTTGGGACACAAGTTTCTCGTTGTGCTATTCTTATGGATATTTGATGACATAACGACTTTTATGAGAAGTAAGGTGGTGTTGGAGAGAAACAGTTTTAAAGCCTGGCTGCATTCCCTCACTGCAGACCAATGATTATTTTAATAAAACCTCCAACCCCTCCTTCCATTTAGCAAATATACGCTCCCGTTTTTTGACCTCAGAGAGCAAACACTAATTGAAATTATACCGAATAATCAGCGGTGAAATCTCTCCTCTGTGGCACAGAATAACAAGACAGGCGACTGTTGTGATGCCACGACTCCATGCTGAAATCAACGCTCCACGGTCTTGTGTTAAAACCAAGCGTGAAAAGGCAGATAATGTGGCATCCAGAGGACAAAAGACACCAGAAAGCTCACTTATACCAGAGCACCTCGGCCAAATTTCATACCAATTAAATGCGACCCGCAAGTTTTCGGTACATTTTACGCAATTAGTGTCTTCTGACACAAGGCCGACATGCTCGTGCTTCTGTCTATTTGACATGAAACTGTGATTCAGTTTGGCGGGGCCACTTAATCTAGTCTAAACGCTGGACAATGTATTGAATTTAGAAGTTTGTTTAGATGCAATAATAAAAGAATGTGTCCTACTAATTGAGTTTCAGCATGTAAATAACGCAGTTTGACCTGGAGGTGGCAATGACAACTTAAAGCTTTAAATACAACTAGTACACATAGGAGTAGATACAGGAAGTATGCGTTATCGTGTCAAAACGGAATGAAGAGAAGAGTAGCTACGTTGGTTCACTTTAGAAGTGGAGGGAATCTTTTGATACCCACACGTTTGTGGTCACAAAGCAGACGAAAAGAAAAGATCAATGGCCCACTACTATAAACTGGCCTCTTTTCATGCGCGCTCTCCCCAGACTGAATACAAATGCCCCTCCTTTACCCGGACCCTCAGTCATTTTAACACACGCATTGTGTACCGGATCAGGCGAGAATACTTTGGCAGTGTAAGGTTTTCTCAGCTTTGTCGCGTGTCTTTCAAAACGCATTATCTAAACTAACTCTTAGTCCTGGAAATACACCAGCAACCCTAAATAACACATCTACGGAGATACTAATTGGTAATAGGATAAATGGACACCTTTACCTTACAAGACAGTGCCAATGTCTATTCCATAAGTGGGTGTCTACAGTTTTTATTCACCCCATTTAGTATTTTCAAATGGTCTGTGTGCGAGCACAAGATGCGCAGTGGACTGCAGTGAGCCTATAGTCAATACATTGTTTCAGCTGGTATGACTTTCCCAAGCCTTCGCCTCTTTCAGGGAGCAGTGTGGAAAATCGGGAGGCGAGGGACCGAGGACAAGGGGCGGCCCACGATTCTCCTCGGTGCCTCACCGGCCTGGTATGAAGACAAAAACTGGCGACGCACAATAGCCAAAGAATCCTTAAAGTGTTAACAATTTTTCAAAATCTCCTACGCTTCTCGTGCTTACATTTTTGGTGTTTGTTGTGAATAAACATAAGCGTAGCTGCATCTTTTGCCTAAAGAAAATAGGTTAGCTGATGGGATAACAGTTTGCAGGTGTAACACATTTACTTCAAGGACCACCAGAAAATCGAAATGTTGTGGGGACACGCAGGGAATTACCACGGTGCTGCCTTCGACCTGATGGCGTGAAACTCACATATAAAAGATTGAATACAAGAGTCAATGGTGCCCACACCATGCTCCCCAAGCCAAACCATTACGATTACCCATTATGTTTATGATTTTTACGCTTCTCTCTATTTTTTGCCCCACACGTTGTTTCTTGGGTATTTGCACTTATATATCCATTACGCAGTAGGCTATGCACTGTAGCTATCCCGATTTGTGGCCTGTGCATGTTATAGATAGATAGATAGACAGATAGACAGACAGACAGACAGACAGACAGATAGATAGACAGATAGATAGATAGATAGATAGATAGATAGATAGATAGATAGATAGATAGATAGATAGATAGATAGATAGATAGATAGATAGGTTAACGTTAACTGAAGGAACAATAAAAACAAGGACGGACAGAAATGACAAAACATTCAGCAACATATATGTTCAAACGGCCTACATTATTCACTTTTCTATTTTTAAGCCTTTGGCTAGTTTTGGCTGTCAAATGACGCCACTGTTGCTCATTTGAGCGCAAGAGACAGGCGGGACTGTTTGCATTGAGATGTTAAGTGGGTGTCTCTATATAAATCCACTCAGGGTCAACTCCTTCATTCGTGCCCGAGAGAGGGAAAGAGATTAACTTCAAGGAAACCAGAAAAACAGAATGGTGGCTACGACAGACAGCGCAGAAAAGTCCAAACCCATCGCTGGAAGCAAGGTGTGTAGCATAACCTATTATGAAGAAGGGGATTTAAGGGTAGAACATTAAATAGGCTAACCCAAAATGACTGAAATGTGATGAATGAAATGTTAATTTTACCCGCTTTTTACAGGTGTCCAAACCACTCATGGAAAAGAAACGAAGAGCTCGCATCAACAAGTGTTTGGACCAGTTAAAATCTCTTCTGGAGAACTACTACAGCACTAGTGTAAGTATGCACTTTAATGTTTACTTCAGACCAGAGTTACTGCACTTCATTCATTAGTAATGCAAAACATTGTTTGAAGAAAGTGTCTCAATAATGTTATTTCTTTACACAGATTCGAAAGCGCAAACTGGAAAAGGCCGACATCTTGGAGCTCACTGTGAAACACCTAAGGAACCTCCAAAAGATCCAGAGCTGTAAGTTACAACCTCACTCTTGCAGTAGACCAACACCAACCCATTCAAATACTCGGCTGATTTTCAAGCTCGGGTTTATGTACTGTAACTGTATGCACAGATTCGTGGTTCTCACCGTAAGATGTTTTTCTATTGCTCTCAGGCACCGCTGCTTCGGAGTTTTCCGATTTTCAAACTGGCTTCCGCGGTTGTCTGGCAAACGTCAACCAATATCTGCTGATGGCAGACAGCTTGAACGGGAGCGACCGCTGGACGTTATCGCAGCTTTCCAGCAAACTCAGCCACTCCCGGGGACAAGAAGAACTCTTCAGCACCATGGACAGCGGCATGGGTAAAGCTGAGACGCAGGATGAGGTGCGGAGACTTCTCCCATCGGCAGCCGGACCTGAGGAGAGAAAAACGGCCATACCTAAAGCTTTGAAACCCAAAAGCACAAGCACGTCTCCTTTTTTACCGAGTGAAGACGCACGGCAGCCATCTAGAAACAAACATCCTATTCTTGTTGCGTCGCCCACACAAAATACTCATGAAAAAAGTTGCAGTCACAAAACGTTTTACTCTGTCAGTCACAGGAATGAAGTTGCAAACACTCAGCACAACGTGTGGCGACCTTGGTAGAGCTGATATAAAGCTGTAGATAGCTTATAGCTTGTTTAAATGTTTTTAATTTCACTGTATAGATTTTCACAATATGTTATTTCCTATATACTATATGTTTTATTTTCTAAATAAAATTTGCGAAAGTAAGAACGTGTTGTCTTGGTTATTGAACTAGGAATAGATCTTAATCTTTCAACATTTCACACATTTCAACTTTTGAACCTCAAACGACCAAAGTTGTGTGGGCATGGGACTCAAATACGTTTATCAAATTGTGTTAAATGCATTATATAAACACTGAGGCTGTGCTTTATTTCGAAAAACTTTTTTTTTCATTGCATCGAATTTATTCACAATTATCAAATAACTTTGTGGAGTTGACATAAAAAGACCCAGAGAGGGGGTTGACTGACATTTCATCCATTCTTCTGTGGTTTCACGGATAAGTACCGAAACAGTAGCGGGAAAATCAGATGCTTGTCGGACAGCACAACAATTTTCTGCTATAGGCCACTAATTACACGCATCATCTCTTCTCTGCCTCCTCTGGACTTGGACAGGACCAAATGCTGTTGGCTATAATTCTTGAAAAGAATAATTGTGAAACAGTGAAATTTCTGCTCCAAGTTGAAACCTGAATTCCTGTCAGTTTAATTGTTAACAGCTTTTCTGGAAAAGCTCTACACCTATAAGCCCACATAATACACTCAAAAGTAACATAATTCGTAGGTCCCTTGGGCTGTTTATGAGCATATTCCCTAGAGTGCAAAACACAATAAATGTACCATAATCTTCATTAATCCTTCACTTGCATGTAAGGCAAGCAAGCAAGGTTTAATGCCCAGCTATGTTTTTTAAGTAAACCCAAACAAACGTGTTGGATAAACCATAACCTATTTTAGCAGTAAAGACCAATAGTGGTATTTACTGTATCTGTGCGTCTTAAAGTTTTTTTTTGTCTACGGAATACTGTATAACATACAGTTCTCATCAACTTATTGCACTACAGTGATTGCAATTCTATACTATGTAGGCCATATGCACAAGGCAGCAAACCTGTCCATCATTCAGCTCTTTTAAAGTGTCCTATAGTCTTCTTCCGCTGCTTTGGCAGAGCTGTCATAAAGTGTCTCTCCATTCTTAAAGGGCCGAGCTGGAAAAGGATGGCACCTTGCAGCGAGGAGAATTGCTGAAACGCCCACAGCTCTTTCAGATGGTAGGCTATACATGCTGAAAAGACGCTGCTGCCCCATAGAAGAGGGGTGCTAGGGTGCAGTGCAGAGGACAAAAAAGTACACACCGCATGGTTCAAGTTTTTTACCCTCAAAATAACAATAAACTCTCAGCTCCAAACCCCGTTATGGCAAGTATTTATTATTCCAGCGTTTTGTTCTGTCTTACAAACCCTGTCTGTAAATCTTAGTAATACTCTCTTCCCACAAAGTCAAAGCTACTCTTTTAATGAGACCAACAGAGGCCCATGGCACAAGAAAAGTTTGTTTTATCCAAGAAAGGAAATGCCACGTGACTTCCACACTGAATGAACTTAAACTTTTTCTAAGAATTTCTATGAACTCTTCTCAGCATTGTTTAAGTAACCTAGTTTGGTTTGCCACTATAATAGCGACGCATATTAGAGCTGAGAACCGAAAGGAGGGAGAGAATCAGCTATTAGCATTAGACTGGGCCCAGTCAAGCGCTCTTAAGGGAGCAGACGAGGATGAAGTGCGCTGCAGACCCCGCCGTCCACTGCTCATTTCGCTGGTAAATATGTCCATGCTAGGAAGGCTTGACAAGATTCACTTACACAATTACAACATACAATATGTAACTCACCCAAAGACCTCACAATTAAGTGTGAACCGTATACAATAGTGCTGGCTTTGGTTTCCAGTTAGACCTCCAGCACACTGTGGAATTACGTTTTAGCACGCAGAAAGGGGCCGTGCCCACTGGCCGTGCCGAGCTCACTGTTGCGGGCAACTTGGGCACCAGGCAGCTCCGACCTCTCCACCGAGCTTTAACCAGGTGCTGCAGTGCGGCACCAGCTCATTAGAGACACCTGCGCCAGAAGAAAACACTGTGCTCCAGTTTAAACGTGACATTTATTTTTTTCGCTCAAATGAAATATCATTTTTAACATAGTTTTTGCGAGTACGTTGCCTAATGTTACTAAAAACAGTCCTATACACCTAATTTACTCTAACTTAAAGTTAGCTTAGTTAGCTAGACGCTTTATTCCACTTTTCATCCCACGCGGGTCTGCCGGCATAAAACACAACCTGTTAGTAGGAGAAACCTAGAGACGTTTCGAAGGATGTTTGGTGTTTATAACAGAGCAAAACGGGTATAAATGATTTAAAATGTTTCTTGTGGGATAAATCTTTTGCCTGTTTAGCTAACGTAATACCGTTCACGTTACCATTAACGTTACTTTCACCATTACATCTCCTTTATGAAGTAAAAACTCATTAAATAACGGAGCTGAACTCACCTGAACTAACGTTACACGAACCTAGTAACTTAAAAAGCCTATAACAGATACAAAACATTCTCAGTATGGAGGTTTTGAAAAGCTGTAACTAACTTTAGCTAACTTGTGAACTGCCGAGTCAGGTTAATGTCACCATAGCAACTGTCCCTTGTACCGTCTTGTTCATGGGTACTGAGACTCTTGTTTAATCTTCATGATCATAAGATGTTGTAGAAGTCTTCTGCTTAAAAATGACTATGTTTTATGTGAGTTTTATGGTACACTTAAGCATTAGTAATAACTCAAGTCTGAATTGTTGTTTAATTCATTTTCTTCAGTGGTGCTACGTACATTTGAGAGACTCCATCAGACGCAGAAAATGTGTAGCTTATATAGATAACGTTAGTTTCAACCATGTTTCTGGCCATATCCTGCTTAAAGAAGGCCACTGCCAAATTAGGGAGGACGATCAATATTTCATATCATTTTGGATGACATCAAACCTTGGTTTTCTTCTGGGATTTCATTATATCCATCATGATAAGTTCCGCCAGTAAAATTCTAAAAACACACTCTGAAGCTTCATCTTGTGAATTTAATCAGTCATATCTTTTTAACAAAGTCATCATCTGAACAAGAAAATCATAACATTTAACATCATTCATATTTGAGTCATAAATCTTTGAATATGTTACAAAATTATATTTTAATATTGTAAACACAAAATGCAAAAATCTATGACATAGCAAAGTGTGATAAGGGGGTGTGATGTTATGGGTCCAAAGAAAGATACATTTCAGCTGATTCTCCAGTTGAATAGGCTGCAATGCTTGAGAGGTACACTAATACATTAGAATTCAAACTAAACATTTAAAGGACCGCAGATGAGTGAAAACACATACGCAACTTTATTACTTGGATGGTTATAACAAAAAAGTTTCACAACTAATAAGGCTGTCAAAGGGGATATTTTCATTTCATATTGTCCTTATAGTCTTAGTCATTTCTTTGAAAACCTAAACCTAATTAGTGCAAATACATTCATGTTAGCAGTTACTGTCCATGAGAGGTCAAAGCCCAAAGTTGGTTCTGCTAGTATTTGTTAGTAGAATCGTTTTCACTCTTTTTAGTCAGCAAATTGTCATACTTGGTAAACATGAGAAGTTCTTTGTTAATTTAACATTGGGATTTGTAAAGTCAGCTTCATTGTAAAGTTCACTCCAGTGTCCATTTGAGTGTGCTGAGAATTTCTCAAAATTATGGGGCATTTCACTGATAATTTAATAATACTATTTTTGACTTTGAACATTTATTTTTTCCCTCAGGATCCATTACTGGGGCTCTGCAAATGCTTATATTTAATTTCCATTAGGCTACTTTATGGAGCTTAGATAAAGTCTCTTCACACGTGAAAAACCTCATAGAATAGCAATAGCTGTTTTTGTGCCTGTTATTAGATAACATATTAATTATAATGTCTGATTTATGTTGAAACATATAACTTTCCAGAAGTTATTAATTTGCAATTATAATCAATTGTAATTATATTCACAATGTTCTTAATTCATGCTAAAAAAAATTCTGTGATATCAACTTTTGGACCATTGGATGTCTTTTAAAGGTTCCCACTTCTTCTACTAAATTCATTATTGGTGCTTTCTAACACATAATTGAAACAGGAGGTGAGGTCAGGCTGACATGCTCAGTAGATGAGGATAAAGCCATTTCCAGCCCTATTGGTCTGATGTTCTGTATGCAAATATCCAATGTCGTGAGCAACTGTTGATGCCCGATGATCTCAACACAAACAGTGGAATAATAAGAATTGGGAGGAAATGTTCTAAGCATAGATCTCAATAAACAAAACAAAAAACAACGAAACCATGAATCCAGTATCCTTCATATATACATGACATGTCAATCTTTAAAAACTGACTTCACATTTTCATTAAGAATTTGGGGTCTTCACGTAATATCTCAATATCTCACACAGTAACTGTAAAACTATTAGGCATTAAAGAGTTTGGGATTACCACTCTCAGTTTACTTAAACATATATGGGTGCTTGAAAAAAAGCTTTTCATGTGTTGTTAATAATATTGTTAATAAAAAAGTTGTACATCATGATCAAAATAAAATAAATATGTATATTGTGTCGTATCCTTAAGTAAATTTCAAGGTAAATGGGCGGTATTCAGGAAAGTTTGGTTTTAAAGCAAATGTGTCCATACAACAAAACACACAGCCATTACAGGCCAAATAAAATACAATGTAAGCTCAAGTTCTTAAGTGCAAAAAATAGAAAGAAATGAACACCACCCAAATAACTACCTCCTCCAATTCTTTGAGCATTTCATAGGAAACAACATCAAACAGCAAAAACAAGGTGTGGGAATGTTCACGCCATTAAAAACAGTTTATTTGTGCCTGTGCTGGAAAAAAGTGTGGTGTGGATATTGTGTGATGTGAAAGCAGAATCACCCGACCTTTCCACCAGCCTACATACGAAATGAACGTTAGGCCCATTCAGACATTATGTCCAAAGTTCTCAAGGCCATTTAGCATAACAGATATTGGTGGTATATATAGTAAAACAGAAAAGTGGCACAAGTAAAAAGGCCAAATAACCCAGTATGTCACTTTCCCATAACCACCAATACTCTAGTGGTTTTCATTATGATAATAACTTTAGTTATTATGTTGATATTAACAAGGGAAAGTTTGCTTTTTAGGTCGTGGAGCCCACAGAATCAGAGTGAAAGGTGATGTATCCCGAGGATGATACCGAGGGTGTGCTTACAAAACTGTTTGTGCTTCCTTTACTCTCGGCCTTGCTCAGGTGCTTCTGATGCCCCCAGTCAGCTCCAGCACCAGCCCCAGCTCCGCCGCCTGTCCTCGGCCTAGAGTGCCCTGGAGTCTGCTGGCTACGCCTAGGTGAGCCTACTTCACACTGCTGTTTCCCGTCTCTTTGGCGCTCCCGGCAGCCTTTACCAGAGCCACAAGCCCCAGGGCTCTTCTTTCCAGTAGGTCTGTCTGGTTTGGGGGAACCCTCGGGTGAGTTTCCCCGACTACTGCTCCTTTTGTGTTCTGAGACACGCCTGAGCGCCTGAGGCTCACGCTCAAAGTCTGTGAGCGGGAAGTGAGGAAGGATGACTGTGTGCTGTTCGTACACATTGGGGATAAGTGAGATGGTGGATGTGCGCCGCGGGCTCTTCCTGGGGCTCGGCAGCGGCGTCTCATCTATAAAGTTAATCACCTCATCGCGGCTGAAACACCGCAGTTCATCCTCATAGTGCTCTCCGCCACACACCACACGTGGCAGGTGCTTGAGGGAGTGCATACTATCCTCAGAGCGTCGCCGCTTGCGGTGAGGGTGATGGTGATGGTGGCTCTCCTCGTGGTAGGAGACCAGGCTGCTCCTGCGCCTCTCGTGGCGCGGCAAGGTGGAGCTGTAGTGGGCACTCACTATCATGTCCTCGGTGGAGCCCCATCGGTGAAGGTATGAGGGGATCCGGTCGCTGGTCCACATGTCGGTTTCGTCGTGGGAGTATCTTCTTGTAGGGGGCACCTGGACGCAACACACAGACCAAACCCTTCAGTCTATCAATAACGTTGAATTTAATTCAACAATTCTACAACAGCACAGAATCAGTAAGAATTGTAGCACTGCACATTAAGTAAGTAACATGTTATATAACATTAGTACATCTACATTGTCAATTATAAGTTATTTTACATGTAGGATTCTTTATGTGGCTGTCAATGCCACTGTGATATAACACTACAGTTTTAGTAATAACACTGATTTGCAGTAGTCCCAATGAATTGCTTTGTGTAAATATTTGGGTTTATGACTTTGAAACTTTTCTGCAAATTCGCAATAAAGAAGACATCTTAGTTTCTGAATTCTTTCTATTTGTAGCATCCTGATTCAGCTGAAGGGTTTGTGTAAAATCCTACATGTTGCACATATAAGTTGTCTGTCAAACATGTTAAGTGTAATTTTAACTTTTAATTAATCCCTCAGACATGTATGCATTTGTTTTTAACATTCTAACATACATCAACAGGGTTATAACTGAACTATTATTCACCTCCATTAGTTGGAAATGAAAACTGAAAAAAGTGGATAGTTCCCTATATGTTATACTCACATTCCATTCTGTTCTGACAACTATGCAAGAGAGAGAGGGTTTGTCAAGGTGACGTCAAGAGCCACAAGATTGATATCAGTCTGCCCCCCTGTGGTGGGTTTTAGTAAATGCAGAGAAATGAGACAGCAGACGATACAGTAGCATTGAGTGGGTTATGTGGGAGGGGTGGACAGCAGAGGGCAGCACAAGCATTAGAATGAATTACGATGCAGGACAGACTTGGCAGAATGAGAGAGAGAGAAAGACAGACAGACAGACAGACAGACAGACAGACAGACAAACACACAGGCCAATAAAGCCAAAGAGGCTTTATTCTGCAATCAAACCACTTGAGAAGTGCCATAGCAATTCTCAAATGGAGGTGTCACTTGATAATGATTTGAAGGGTTTTGTTGATTCATGGTCTAATTGGGCCTTAACCCTTCTAGCAGCAACACAATAATGTGACTGTATCACAGTTCAGCCAGTCTTCCTGTAACTGAAATTAAGAATGCACCTTATTTGTTTCACGATCACACATATACAGCGAGGAATACAGTAACACGGCCAACTATTTTTGCAGTCAAATGAATCTACTGTCATGTGAAGAGGTGTATCGGTCACAAAAACAATGGATGGAGTAATGGTTTGGTCTAATGAAGTGATAGCTACTGTATACATCTCTGTTTCAAGGCTTCTCAAAAGGTTGAACTGAATAGAGATCCAATCCTGTAGGAACATTTGTCCATTATAATGTTGGACATCTGGGTTCTTTTTTTGGAGTAATAAGCAAATTATTCAAGTAAAGGTAAACTGCTTGGGCTGCAGGCTGTTCTGAGAAAACTGAAGCCCTTGTTTAGTTGTTTCTGACAAAGATGACACAGTGTTAAGATGCTTTGTAAAAGTTAACATTGTGTAGGTTGCATCAGTTGGTTCTAAAGTTACATATCTTCACCACAGTCTTCCAGGCCAAGTCCAGCAAGATGTTTATCATCATCACTAATTTAATCAATCATTTCATTAATATTGGTCCAATCTGATACGCCAGAATTTGTAGTTTACAAAGTTAAGTCAGTATTGGGACCAAAACAGAAAAGAAGGTTCTGTTGAATTGCCCTAGAAGGCTGCATGTTAGAACAAGTTTTGGTGTTAATGCAGGCTGAAAAGAAGCATTTCACAGCTCTGCATCTGACTGAGATGGATGCCAGATACAATGGACACAATGCTTTTGGGTAGAACATGAGCAGACATTTAAAGTGCTTTCCTGAAACCTTGAGGGATTCCTGAAATGTAGAAGGTAAGTCAGTTACTAAACTCTTACCCTCTTACAAAATAAAAATGTTGTCAGTTGAATGGCTAGGACACACTAGTCGATAAATGAAGCACATCTAATATGTTGATGGGACTGCCGATGGTCATATTTACCAAACATTAGTCAGCAAGAGTATAATTTTGATTAAGGTAAAAACGACAACAAAAATAAATAAATCTGTGAAATATCTGGGAGAGATAGCTTCACAAAATGTCTGATGATTCCAGAAAATTCAATCAAGATACTGTAAAAGGCCGACAAGGCCATTTCATCATGCACATCAGCAATGAAGTGTCATTTAAAAATAGTTCAACTGATCAATTAAAAGAAATGAAGAAAATCAATGAAAATATACCTGCAAATACTGCATTTTATCTTCCTGTTGTTCCCTCAATGGATACCCTTGCGGAACCCCCCTTTCTAAGGTTGAGAACTCATACTTGGCATTACGGTCTACCGTCACGATTTCAGGCGCCGAGCTATAGTCATATGGTCTGTCATATATTAAGTCGGCATGAATTCCTCCATCTTGGCTGTTTTCTGCAAAGTGCAGAAAAGCACGAGCGTCAGGATTAGAGAGCAACGAACTCAATACACAAGACAGACAGACAGACAGACGAATAGATAAGAGAGACAAGTTCAATTGTTCTCTGATTTGTTGACTTTTCCTATGGGTCTGCTCAAGAATATTAGGTTTAAGTAAAAAAATATATATATTTTGCTACAAAAAATGACCAATAATTCAATTGAAATTATTGTAAAGGGATTAAAAAAAACCTCAGATTGGTTCTGAATTTAGAAACTACGCCAATTAGTTGCATAAAGAATCTTTCAAGGTACAGGGCTTACATTTTGAACAATAAAATCATACAAGCAATGTCAAGTTTTCTTGGCGTATAAATACCCATCTACCAAGTTTATTTTCCCAATTACTGCATTCATGTTCATTAAGGATCAATTGGAGATGGGTGTAAAATGCTGATCTTGAGGAAAATGTTGGCCAAAAAGATGAAAGATGAAAGTAGCTATTTGCACAGGCAGCTTGGCATGCAAGTCAGTAGCTTCGGAAAAACAGGAAACAGTCCTTATACATACAACTGTGATGAGTTATACATGGCAAGCCCTCTGGAAAAAAGCAGAGAACTGGCAGTGTTAATTATCACACAGAATATGGACTGCCTTGTGTTGCTTTATGGCTCCTGCTGGACAACGAGCAGTTATCAGGGAGGGTGTCAAGAGGGAGAGGATCAAAAGGTTTGGAGGGTTAGAAACAGGAGAGAAGGGGTTCAGATCGGGTTGAGTTTAAACAGTGCCAATAGAAAAAAAGACAGATGGTTCGTACTGTCATCAGTTTGCATGAATTGTGGAAATCTGGTCACGGACCCAGTCCACAAGCCTTTCTATGATTATCATGTGACCTAATTTTGGGACCAAATTTTATTGAAGTGTCTGTGATTCCTTGGTGAAATGTTTCATTTTCAGCCCCTTGGAATACATTGATATTTCTGTGATGAAAGACGCAAGTCTTGGACCACTTCTCTTGTATCTATTAGTCAGATCTTTACCAAGTGCAGTTTAATTAAGACTTGTGCCTTAAAATATGTATTTTTATTTTTTTGTTGCTTCAAGTCACTATAATCTGACCAGTAAGTAGGAGTCAACATCACACAAATAAAAATAAATAAAAACAACAACAAACAAAAACCAAAATAAATAAATAAAAAACATATGTATGAAAAAATCATTTTAAATCTATTTCAGTTGGGTGTATCCCTTTGTGACTTGAGGGAAATATGACCATCATGATGACATGAAAGTGCTTTTCAGCTTTATTGCTATTGTTCCAGTTTGACTCTGGATCCTTTATTGTATCATCCTCTCATGGCAGGGAATTCTAGAGGAAGATTGCCCAGTTTAAAAGCATTGGAGTGAAAAAGTGCTGCAAGGTAAATATGTCCTTTCTCCATCATGATTTCTTTCTTTTCCTTTTTTTTGTAATGACATCAATCTCATAGCATGGTAAAGTAAAGCATTTTATAAAGTACACACCACGTACAAAAACACAGAAAAATATATTTTAGTATAGAAAGTTATGTTACACAGACACTTGTCACTTCAGTTTCATCTCCTGACAACAAAGGTCACATGATAGGTCACATGATAACATTTGACCACTGATTTCAGACCTCAAACTACAACAAAATATAATGTAATGAGCATTCAAAAGAAACTAAATAATATGTACCATTCTTTATTTAAGAAACATATACAAACAGCCAAAACCATGATTGCCATTGTAAAGGTCTTAACCACTCTGTAATCATTTAACCAAATGATAAAATGTTCCATCAATTAGGGTGTAAATATAATAAAATGTTATTTTGGTAATGATCTATTTCCATTTAGATTTTGTTATTATATATGATTATTTATTATTATCTTGGATGGCCCTGGCCTAAACATAACATAGGCTATATTTCCCTAAGATCAATGAGACTAACAAAGATAAAATGTTAAAAATGTTTCTGTAACAATAATTAAGTAGCATCACTATTTCTAATGTCTTGTTTAATTTGTGGATTGACTGAAAATAGATGGCAGCTAAAAACTGTAATTGCATAGTTTAATATTTAGGATACCAAGCAAAGCAGTCAGAGGGTGAGGATGTGAAGCTGCAGTAATCATGGGTCAACGAGCAATTTAAACCTGCATCATGAGGTAGAAACCAGGAATATATTAACTTCCTTCAATTTCTAATACCTCTTGACAGAGCAATTCTGACATTTCATGTGGTGATAAGACTTATAATAAACCTGTGATTTTTGAGAATGCTAGCTAAAAGTTACAGAGTCAACTGTCACAAGATAAGCCTGTCACTATCACAAGTGATACTAAGGAATAAAATGCTGACCCTCTGTAGACTGGAAGGTGGCTGGTGACAAAAAAATGGGTCAAAACATTCATAGAAACTCCCTAAAACCACTTCTCAGTTGTCTAAAGAACAATAATGTACAATGTTCTTAAAATCACATCCTGTGATCTGACTGAATCAGTTCTCTTTACACACTCTGAAAACACCCTATTAAACATCAGGCTATAAACTAAAGGTTTCTTTAGCTTGATACTAACTCTGTTCCCTTCCTGCAATATTGCTGCCCTCAATTTCCCCAGTACAACTACTCCCTGGGCTAAGAGACAAAACAATTCAGGTTGATAAAGCACAGTTGTCACTGTAATTTCTATTGCCAAAGACAGTCCAGAACACTTTTCAACACAATCGACTCTCTCAAATCCTGAATTCAGAGAGTCCTGTCAAATATTTAACTTTCACTTGGATTTTGTAGACTTATACAAAGTAAAAATATACCAAATTATCTTTGGAATCACTTTTGCCAATTCAGTTTGTGAAGGTCCCAATGGAGCATTTAACTCGATAAACTCTACTATTTAGAGTTTTCACTAGTCCACCCTGAGCTGTCTTAGGAAATAGGAATCATCATCTATATACACATCATCAGGTGAAGAAGAAAAGGAAAAGGAGGCAGGACAGGAGGGAGACACCTGGCATTGGCTTACCCTCGTCCACGTCGTCGTTGGACATGATGGCAACGCATTTCTCCCACACCATGCGGATGTCAGCCCGATAGCGGTCACAAGCCCAGAGGAACATGGGCAGCAGGATGGACTGGGCAATGGAGCACCACAGCACACACAACACCATCCAGTTGTAGGAGCGCTCAAACTTCAGGCTGGCAAAGCTCACCACCTGGGCAGGGTCAGTATATGGTTAGAAAGAACATAAGCAGCTACTGTGCTGTATGACAACTGCTTACTATGTTACAGTCCATAGTGTCATTAAAATCCATTCAGAAAACTGATAAATGACAGGGCTCACATGTTTACTGCAACATTGCTTTCCCAGGCTGTTTTGTTTAAAAGGTAGTAATAATTCATCTTATCAACATGCCAGAGGACTCAATTGAAACGGACCATGTTATTTTATTTTAATGGATCTGTTTATTGTAGTAATGACCCCAATGATGACTCTCAGAAATCACCTGTTGCATGCAGTTTAGTAGTTTGTAATTTAATACAAATTATGTAGAACAGGTGGGCGAGGGAGGTTACTGAATAAGCTAAATGAGCCTCAGTGGGGCTGCTCAGTGGTCAATAGATACCACTGTGTTGTGCTGGGGCTCCGGGTATGAATCAGTATATTTCTCAATAACATAAAACTCAATTCAGATATCCAAAAAATGATGTACTATGATACACTAATTACATTAGACTTATTCTACATTATAAGCAGCATTGGGTAGGTTAAATAAGCAAAGTGAGAGAGTGCCGATACATCCCATAGGTCATTAAATGGGTACTACCAATGCTCTTAACAGCAACCAAAACAGAAAACAGCCCGCTGAGAACTTCAGAGTCCGAACTACATCACAGCAAAGTTCTGTACAATATTATAGGCTAAACAAAGTGTAATTACGTTTTCCTGCTACCTTAAGGTCAGCAAATAACTTTTCCAAGTCACTCTTAAAATACGTAACAAAAACAGAATTAGACTCTTCCACAAACTACCACAGACAAATAAGCTGCGGTGGAAATGATTTTAGTTCAGATCCGGCCTGATCCAGATGACAGAACCTGCATTACAGAACCTGACATGAACTTTACATGTAGCTGCAGGCCTAAATCCAGTAAAAGATCTGCCGTGAGACATGTCTCTGTTAAACCTGTAAGAGACACATGCAGTAACAACATGCTCTCTGTTTTCTGATAAGCTATAGTGCTCTCAGTAGGCACTCAGCAAAAGGTTGTAGAGTCCACTCAGAGTACAAAATACTGAGCATTATCCCTCAGATCCAGTCCTATATCTTAGTAAAAGTGACTATGTAAAGGCAAGGACAGCCTACATAATGTTGTTATATACAGCATACAAACATGAACTAGTGTTGCAACTTTTTCTTAATCCATTTAGTATTTTTTCAGTCAATCGATAAACCATTTAATCTACAAAATTTCATGAAATAGTATGAAAACAACATCACTAAATTCACAATGATATAAAACAGAGAAAAAATGCAAATCTTCACATTTGAGAAGCTACAATTTTGGAAAGCTTTCAACAATTAATCAATAATCAAAACAGTCAAATCATTTCAGACCTTAGTTAAAGGTTTAAGCTCAAAGTATGATCAAATGTGAGCTCTAATATTTACGTTGTACAACTGACTATGTAACGCAACAGTTAAATTGATCTTATGCAGCATGTAGACTCCCAATCAGAATATACAGTATGGATCAAATATGATGATTTATATGGTTCATATTGTAAATCTAAAAGCAAATCCATGTCACATTCATACAGTTCAGGGAATAGTGGTGAAAAACAACAAGGGCACAGCTGAAAGCTTTATGTACAGGTCACCACTGTGTAAGGAATGAGGAATAAAAAATTCAGATGTTTTGTAATTGTGTTTTCTAACATTTCTCATAACTGGCTCAGATGCATTCAGAATTTTAGATGAAAGTAGTTGCATCTAATCACCTTATTCATTCATTTTATATCTGCATTCAGCCACTGAACTGCTCACAAAAGGTGACCTTGTTTTGGGCACGACCCCTTTTTACAACAAGCATTAGAGCTAATACGGGCTCTCTACCTCAGTGAAGTAATACAGAGCATTATCTGATTATTAAAGCTGACAGGTTCAGTTTCTAATCCTCATCTCTAATGCATCAGGCTAAGACACTGATCAGATTGATTAACTCAGACTCATTATCTTGGGCGTCACCTCCTCTGGTCACACCTTGAACTCGAGCACCAGCCCTACAGCAGCAGCAGCATCGCTACGAGACTCATGAAGTCTCAGCTTGATACTGATCTTAGTTTGTCTACTGAGCTGAATCAATCTATATAATGTCAGCCAAACCAAGGACATGAGAGACAACAAAAGATATTGTAGGTAAACATAGTTCTTTCTATCAGCATATCTATATATATAGATATGCTGATCCGTCTGCCAGAGAGCATAATAACTGAATGCAGATCCAACACATTAGTTAAAACCCTCATTCTGGCAAAATGTCATAATGCACCTCAACACGTTGAAAACCCATGATGCTGTAGGCTGTAACAGATAATGTATTTTCCACTGACAGGTATAATTAATTTTGTTCCTTTGAAAGCTTATAAGTGGTGGCGTTCTTATCAGTGTACCACCGTGTGTGTTTTCTCTAACTATAAACTCTTGCAGCCTATAAAACTGATAACAGGATGTTTAGCAAAAATGACATTAAATGACTTACATGAATTTTAGTATGAGACTATTTACAGAGGCAATGATGTAACTGTAATTGGGAGTTATATAATGAGCATTGGTGCTGCATAATTGTAATTTCTTAGTTAAACAAATATATGACGGCCACTGTCTTTCAAAGATGATATCTCAGAACAGTGTCACTTGCATATAAAAATGTTGTGAGTGTAAGTCATTTATCAAAAATACTGGCCAGTTACTGAGTATATGCTTACATAGATAATTCTATTTTTGTTTTGTGTCTTTGAGTATCTATAATGTTTTTCCCACAGTGGTGATTCTATTATGTTCGGTTCATAAATCTATTCGTCAGTATTTCTCTGTGTAACACCATACGTTTGTATGTGTGTTACAGCTTTCCATGCATTTAAATAGCTCATTACGTAAGGTTATGAAGACAGCTAGCAGACCTTTTGTTGTTTCTGCCACTGCACTGGAAATATGATCTTTCATTAGTACTATACTACCCTCTCTGTTATGCACACACATACAGAAACCCAGTAGGATGTTGTAAAAGTAATACAACACTGTCTTTTCAAAAACAACTTCCAGCTCATGAAGCAACAAAAATGCAGTTTCACCTCTGATCCTGAATTCAAACATCTCGGTGTAGAGGCGTGATAAAATATGACACACACACTAATTAAGCAGTGCAACAATAATGACAGAAGAATGAGACAAGAAATGGTGGCTCTCCTACTATTCATGTTTAATCTTACACTAAATTTCACTAATTCATAAAAAGCTTTTCCCAGTGTTCTGATTTTTTTTTTCAAAAAACAGCAGCTGTGGCGCCTAAAGACCTGTGAGCTCATCAGTGTTGAGTAATTGCTCTTACCAGCAAGTATTTAATAACAGAGTTCATTCAGTAACTTTACCTTTATTCACATTCATTTTGGTGCAAACTGATTTGCTACCATCTCTCCCAGAATTTCAGGGTGGACCCTACATGTTCCTTGTAGTAAGGCCAAAGAGAGCAAATTTTAGGCAAACCAGTATTTTGCAGTGAGTAAAATTAGTCTCTTTTACAGGATGACAGCTTTGTTAACAATAAGAAACCCCGCAAACAGCAATTAATTAGTCAGCTTATTAAAAGAGACCATTTTTAAGGGAGCATTTTTTGCGTGAGGTTGATATTGCTCAGCTCATGGTGGGCAGATATTGGCAAATGGCAGCAGATTTGTATAATTATACAGAAAACAGGAAGCATGACTTTAAGGCATAATTTAAGATCACTTTAATAGCCAAGACCTGTAAGTTGTTATTGTGTCATCACTCCCCATTGAAGGTTTTTCTTGCTGAGATTTTACTGATAGCTTGAGGCTTTTAAGAGAACGTGTTACACTTTATTTTAATATGAAACAATAAGAATGACATGTTATTGCTTGTGATGTGGATGTTATGGTTAGAGATATTTAGAATATCACTCAACTGAGCACAGAAATAGTACTGGGAAATATAAAACAACTGTAATCCGGCCGAATCCCTTTGAGGTTTGTGATTGTCTCCCATAATATCAGGCTGTGACGTGTTTCTATTAAGTCATTGCTTGAATTGAAGCAAACAATGACCACCACACTTACCATATCCATCCTATAATTATGAGGCACAGTACTAGTTATCTTGCTGTGTGCTTCAGATTTCAGCATTAAAGGCTTGTGCAGATAGTTTCTGTTCAGCTTGCCTCAGGTGTGCAACACTTAATTAAAAAAGGTTTGTCTAATGTAAAAATGACTACTAACAGATGGTTTGTACAAATGATAACACAACCAAGGCAATGTATTATATATAAATTGGCGCTGAGGCACTTTGATACGCATAATGTTCTTCCACTTAGAACTAATAAGAGTGATAGCATACTGTATACCCTCATGTAAGAAACCTCTACCATTACAATATACTTGCAATTAAAGTTCAGGCTGTGGACAGACTGTGGCTTAAACATAAGCAGAATGTACTTGCTTTAACAAAATATTCTAAAAAAGTACATTTTCCTTATGGAAAAAGCTCTAACTCACTGACTTGCTTTTAAGATGACAGGGTGGCTGGTTTGGCTGCATCCCAGGCAATAAGCCTTGAGCTTTCTACAGGCTCTCAAGTCAGCATAGAAAACCAATGAATTGACTTGTTTAAACATTTATGAGAACCTGAGGGTGGAATTTGCAAACCAAATGGCAACACGTTGAAACAGAGCTCGCTCCTTCACTCACTGATAATGCACTTGAAGGATCAGTTTCCCCAGGAAGTAGAGGGAAGTCACACTGTGTTTAAAGCCTGGATTTCTGTTAAAGGCAACAGAAGGAAGGTGATTCCAGTGCTGAACTGTAACATGTACCTGGGACAACCGGGCCAGGTCTCCTACACAAATGACACTGTTCAGGCTTTTTCTAATAGTGTTGGCCAACATATTATTATTGTTGTTATTATAGACAGAATACAATCAGCATCCCTTAGAGGTTGTTGTTGATTCAGCTTATCGGTCCGATTTTCTGTATCGATTCTCTTGCTGGGCAATTTTATTTGTGGAAAAAAAATAATGTGCCAACACAGTTTTTCAGCGTAAATGCAACTGTTTTATTATCTCTGACTCTGAGTGCAAAAACAGAGTAATAAAAAGGCCTCCATGTGACTCAAGTGTGCAAAAGCTCCACTGTTTAACCGCTGTTTAATTTGGACCCGGTTCTCAATTCTCATCCCTACTATTTGTACAGCATTCAGGTTTTCTTCATCAAAGAAAAAAATCTTGTAAGCCTACCTGCAAGGCGCTAATTTTATTATAACAGACAATATTTACCCTGCTGTGAAGCAGTAGAGCTTGTGCATAGAGAGTTAACGTTGCTGGTGTTTCCAGCCTTACTTGAAAAGATCAATTTACAGACAGTACAACTATCTTTATGAAGCCACGCTTTGGACTGTTTCTTCTCCTCCATGACTCCTTGCTGCAAGTTTCCAGCAGAGTAGACGCATGAGTTTGACGTCATTGTTTCGCAATAGACAGCTGTCAGAAACGTATGCCAGCATCAATAAAAGGAATTCATAAGCTCGAAGACATATGGTTATGATTGAATTGGACAATTTGGAACTAGTTCTCAACTGGAACCATAGACTACAGACTGTATATAAAGACACACACACCATCCGTACTGTACACACTTATCCTGACCTACTTACCGCACCAGATGAGCAGGAACATTTAAGCTCATGTAAATAATAAAACAGTATGGTTTGGTTACAGGAGCTGCAGTGAACAAACTCCACCCTCAAACTGTTATTTTTACCTTAATATTTACCCTGACCAACCCTGTCCATCCAGTTCCAACTCAATTAACCTTCCGCACAACAAAGAGGTCACAAAAATAGCTGCCATTAGACTTACCTCACTGTATGTTTGTGTGTATTGTTTTCTAAGAGGGCGGCAACGAAACCAAAAAAACACATACCATAAAAAAAAAACTAATATGAAAATATTGTACATAAAAGGCATAATCATAACACAAGCTGTGCTAACTTAGAGTCTATGTGTAAAAACCTTAATTAATTAGCTAATACGAATTTATTTTTGACTGTCAGGTTGAAAACTACACTGCAAAATGATAATTGCAAAGACAGTTTTTGAAATGCTTCTCTATAGGCTACAATTGACTTACTGTTTAACAAATCACACTTAACGTTTTATTATGTATCACAGTAATTTCTTAAAATGCTCTCTCCATTATTTTGCATGTATACTTATGATACTATAATCATACACACTCAGTCACAACTGATCCAGGAGTCTAACATCTGCGTCTAAAGTTTGAATTTATCTTTCAGACATTTTATCCAGTTCTGCTCCATCATTAACTGCAATCATGTTTAAGCATTGAACTCACCAGTATGGGGAAGCCAGTCAGGAAGTCGTAGATGAAGACAATACCACTGATCAGGTAGGTGATCTGCAGTGAAGTCTTGAGAGGCTCAGATCCATCGATGGATGATCTGCGCTTCCCCTGGGCATCCTCCACCACTATGGTGGGGACGTTGAACTTGTTCTTGTCGGCATTGTGGCCCGCCTGAATGGAGAAGGTCTGGAAGAGAGCAATGCCGATGCAAATCACACCCATGGCAACGCTGCCACCGATTAGCAGCAGAAAGCACACGCCGAAGCCCAGACCGATCTCCGTCACAATGAATCGGCAGTCAGAGGTGTAGAAGCGGTCAATGGTGTCATGCCAGCCCACTGCTGGAAGCGTGGACAGGATGAAGGAGACCATCCAGATTCCCATCACAGTATGCACTGCCTGCTTCTTGGTGTTACTCAACCTGGAAGCAGAACCACAGATTTTAGCATAAAGTAACCATAAATGCTGTCAGGCCTTCAAGAGAAAAGGGCTTTGGCTTCTCTCTCTGCTGTGGATCTGCTGTAGCTGTAGAGTCCTAAACTGATGCATTGTGCACTGTACACAATACAATTTCTGCTAGGACACAAAATGTGCAGGTGCTTGGACCACTAACACTGAAAGTATATGGAGGAATGTTTGAAAACCTTTAACAATCCTCAAAACAGACAACAAGTAAAACCTGTAAAATAGACTACATTAGAAGATAAAGGTGGGTTCCTAATACAGAAGCAATTACAGCACAGAGTGCCACCAACTTACACCACTCACCTGTGTGTGAACTCTCTGTGTTGCATAAAATAATTCAAATGGGCACTAATGAGATGTCTCACAGTACAATTATATTTTATATGGAGGAGACTGATGGTGGACAATCATGTCTGACTGAGACACTCAGTGGGAAAGATCCTTTGTACGACTACACCTACACTCTGGCAAAATGCTGTAAATGTCACAAAATGGCAGATCTGCACCTGGGACATATAAGCTGAAAAAAACACTATCTCACACAGTCATCACTTAGATAAACTGGAGTTGAATGGAGGGAAATCAATGCTTTGCTGATGGTAAAAGATTGCTTTTTACGTCCCTCGGTCTATTTGTCATCTAGGTCTATTTCAGCATGAAGGGATTTCTATTTCCTCTCACCTACAAGTAATTGTTACAGTCGAGCAATTTGCTGAATGTGTTTGTGTCCTCTGGCGGTGTGGCACTTTTCAAGGTTTGCCACAGCACATGTACATCTAAAAATATGGCAGGCCGTTACTGGTGTTCTCAACTTGACGAAAGACTGTGCCATCCTGCCAAACCATTTACACCTCAAATAGTGCTGAGCTGTTCAAGGCATCAACAACAAATCATACAAAGAGGCCAATTCTTTTTTTAGCTTGTAGCTCCACAGATACTGTCCATTACATAGCTTTTAAAACTTAGAGATTTTATTGTCACGACAGTCCATCCACAGTCCAATTGGCCTCCTTTAAAAGTGTATATAATAACCAGCAACATGTTGACAGAATGCTACAGTTTACAGAAACGTACCTTTCCTCCTTCATTTGTGTTCGAGAGGAATACAGTAAATTCTCTGTTAAGCGTCAGTGGTCCAGGGGCAGTTTTGGCAGGAAACCCAATCTGTCTCTCACAAGAGAGCCAGAGCACATGCCGCCTATCCTCTTCTTCCTCTCATTAAAACCCTCTGAAGGAGCACTGGCTAGCTCTAGAGTCTAACCCCTTACATACAAAATGAGTCAAATATATAGTTAAAAATAAATATCTGTAACTAGTAATGCATTAGCATACATGCACTGACACAATATGAGTGGCACCGAGGGGACAGCTGTAGCATCTATCTTTGCACTATGGCTTTGTGCAAAGACAAGTAGGTCTTGTTGTCACTGTGAGTAATTATGCTAGCCTTTCCTGAATATGCCTGGGGTACATATGATGGGGAAGTTACGTCACCAAGCTGCTTGAATCTATTACCAGAGAGAGAGCGTTGCGAGAGAAAAAGCTCCTAAGAGATAGTGAGCGCAGGGTGATGAGAACAGCTGCCGAAGTACAAGGTTGGAATTCATAATTCAGGCCTTCGGTGTGTGTTAATGTCAGAGACAAGGCAGCCATGCTGCCTCAGCAGGGCAAACGTGGAGCGATTTAAATGAAAGATGAACAGCAATTACACGGTGCATCGCCTGAGCTATCACTCCACTCCATATCGTTGTTAAAAGTGACTTGAAAACAAGAAGAGGAGATGCTGAGAGGAAAGTCAGTGTTTCCAGAAAGGAGAGTATAGTCAGATGAGAGCAAGAACAGACGAGGGAGATAAAAGCATTGGTGTAAAGCCTGATAGCTCTGTGAGGGCATCAGCCAATAATGACAGCTGCACAAGCAATATAGATAGCAAGATTGAGCATAGATTTAAAAGGAAGTTTGCATATCTTATTTGAACGTCTGCTTATCTGCAAAATTGGCCATGCAGACTGCAGGCTGAGCACTGCAGGCCTGATGCCACAGGAAGTACAATCACTCTTTGTTTTTCAGCAGGGGGAGGAAGGGCGAGGCAACAGAATACTGATCTTCACCACATGTACCGCAGCACAAATTTCTGCACCATTTCAATAAACCCACATAGCAGCTTGTTTGTAATGTATTGTGCAAAAATGAATGCCGATTTCATATGTGCTCTGGCTGTATTCGCCAGTTTTTTCTCTAGAAATGCATTCATCTGCAAATGATTGCTCTGCGCTTTATAACCAGACCATAACAAATGAATAACATGAATAACAAAAAACCAAGAACTCTGAGGTGTGCGATCAAGGTGAGATGTCCTTAAATTGCAAACTACAAACTATCACACTGATCATTGAATGTGGTCAGTATAGGTTTGTTACTGTATAACTATCATTAATTATTATGTACAACTATTATCAGTTTTCATTGCAGATACAATACCTATCAAAGACATCATATAACAAATATCATAACATACCATAACATTCCCTGGTTTTGAAATGAGAAATTAAGTGTAAAAATGTAGAAATCAAAGCAATCCAAATAGATTGATACTCCTTTGTGGTACTGATTTAAGATAAATACCACACAATAGTATTATTTGGTCATTAAATGTGTTTGTAAAAGTGTAATTAATAATTGCAGCTTCTTAAAAACCATTACAACAGGTAATGTTAAAGCAGCACTTGTACATCCCTGAATACATACAGAAATAGCATCAAAATCTTGTTTCAAAGGAAGCGGCAATGTTGCTCAGAACATCTGATTACGTGTGAACAGCAGATGTCTTGGGAGTCCAACAAGACCAAAATGGTGTTACTGCAGCAGGGTGCTGACTGTTAATGTGAGGTGAACCTGATCTTTATTATTCAGTGTTACTTAGTAATATCACTTGTTGTGACGAGCCAAATGAAGCTGGAAGCTAGAGCTGGCAGATGCTCAGTCTGGAGGGTTTTACATGGTGTTACCCCAAATAACTGCAACCGGCAGATGTGTTGGCAGCAGAGAGATTTCACCTGATGCAGAGCATTCCTCCCAAAAACTGATGTAAACAGCCTGACAAGTGACACTAATCTAAACAGCGTCCCCATCCCATCTGAAGGATCTGCTCAGAAATGCAGCGAGGGGCCCAAAACCTGCAGCTTAAATGTCAGAATGTTGTCTTTCAAGGTGGCTTTGGCAGATGTTGCATTTATGGAAAGCCTTGCAGGAGGTTATAATTTGCGAAGTCTTTTTTATTTTATTTTATATTGCAAAGAATAATAGAAAAAAATATGGTTTAATGTGTAAAGGGCAAAGTATGTTTGAAATGTGTGATAAAATGTGCTGACAAATCTTAAAGGGTTGGTACCCCTTAAATTATAAATAAAACATATTTTCTCAGTTCCCTCTAGTGGTATCTGGCCATGGAGACAATCCAAGAACACACTGTCAACAGATTTCATGGCGAGTATTTCTTCAGAAGAAAACAGTGAAAACTGTGAGTAACCAGAACATTGTTGCTGGAAAGAAATTATTCTGTAGAACTTTGAATGCTGTGGGAACAACAAATGTAATGCCACCCACTTTTATTGGGTGAATGCAGAAATCTAAGAGACAAATATCTCAAAACCTGAATAAAGGTAAAGTAATCTCTAGTGGTGTGATTGGCTATATATAACGAGACATACGTTTGTAATTTGCGTTACAAATTGCACTTGGCCACATTGTAATTCCAATAGTATTGCGATTAATTGTGCAGCTCTATTTCTAAGCTAGATACTGTATACTGATACCAGTGTCCTAAAAATGGTACCACCTAAAATAAAAGCGTAATGTGAACAACCATAAACAGAACACATTTTAACAACAGAATCAGGTGTGTTACCTGTAGTTTACAGGCCAGCGTACCATCCACATGCGGTGATATGAGAGCGACGTGACGGAGAAGCAGGTGACCAACGTGAGAGTGTAGAAGGTAGAGACAAACACCTTGCACAGACCCTCATTCCACTCGTAGTTGGAGTGCTGACGGCGCAGTGTTATGACACAGTACATGGTGATGGGGATGGCCATGTTGAGGATGTGCGTGCCCGCCAGCGTGCAGATGAGGAACTCCAGTGGTTTCCACTTTTTCTGCTTGGCACTGACGCTAAGAATGCTCCAAGTGTTGGCCAGGATGGACACGCCTGAGCAAACCAGCCAAGCCAGCGTGTTGGCGTTGATGACGTCATCCTTCATGGTGGTTACCTTATCCACCATGTTGGAGTGGGGCAGGGCGGAGCCTCGGGGGCCGCAAGGAACTGTTGGCAAGAGCAGGTACACACGAGGAGAAGGAGGAGGTGGTGATGGGCAGGAGGGGATGCAGGGCGTCGGGCAAGGCAGGCATCCTATCTGGGTGGGCGTGCACTCTCCATGGGATGGGCACAGCAGGGAAAGGACATGGTAGTGGTTCGAGACAGTGGGATGTAAGAGGGGGAAGATGGAAGAGCCGAGCCAGTTCCCTTACAAGCCTAAGGCTGGAGAGGGGGAGAGAGAAAAGAGAGAGGCACAGGGATCAGAGACAGAGGGAGTGAGGATGTAAAGTAAGACAGAACAGTAATCAATCTGCAGGCCTGCTAATGGTCCCGACTGTACAGTAGGAAACAAATATCAAATAGTGACATAATGAGACCTGACACATAAAAACAAGTCATACTAAGTCATACCTACAGGAGAAGGAGAAAATATCAGAAACAATAAAATGCATTCCTACAGGATTGTCCTGAAATAAATACCATTTTGTGAAGCTTACAGTTAGTGCAAAAACAATTATTTAACTCATCAAGTAATTAATAAAAAATATTAGGTGATAATTACTTTAACAAGTCATTCATCAAGAAAAAAAACCAAAACATCCACTGGTTCCAGCGTCTAAAATGTAAAGATTTTCACTGTAAATTCAATATCTTTTTATTTTTAGTTGTTGTGAGAGGCATTTTTTAATTTTTTATTATATATATAAATATATATATATTATTTTTTTTTTTTATATATATATATATATATATATATAATTTATAGACTAAATAATTAATCCTGACAAAAAATTATCAATTTGTTAATCCTTAAAAGAAAATACTTGTGATTTGCAATCCTATTTTTAGTGTTGCTGTATAGGGCTTCACTGTATTGTAAGGTGTTCCTGTCAGTTTTCCCCACCCCATAACCCCTTTAAAAAAGATGAAATAACAAAACTAAATCTTATACATCGTATTTTGTAAGGAGCCATCGGAAAAACATGCACAGAAAATAGGTTGATAAAGTTTTGCTTCATTTTTTTGGGCCATTTCCAGCATAGCACAGCTCTGGCTAGAGAAGCATTAGAAGAGGATGACTTTGGTTCCCCCACTGTGGAGTGAAAAATGCTTGGCACAGCTGGAGCGTGTTGTCACATTTATTTCCTGTCTTTTGGCTTGTCCAAACACTGATGTGCTGTAGGCAAGACCCCTGAGAGGGGGCACTGGAAATGACAAGAACCACGTCATCATCACCCTGCTCTCACTTCCACTGATCTAATCCTCCTCTCTCACTCTTCCCTCAAATGGCACCCTAAACACGTGTCAGCCAATCAGATTCAGTCCTGTCTTTTATGGTTATGAAGCAGAATAGTTACATGCTCCTTAGGATCTGTGTAACCATATAAATCAGGAGATGGTCCTGTAAACACAACATGTGACTTTACTAGTGTATTTGGCCAGTGTGGGAGAGCCACATTGATTAGGCTCCCCTGTCCAAGCAAAATGTGGTACAGTTTGTTACAAACAGTTTTGTTGGTACGAAAAAGATACTACATCAACACACCTAATGATGGAAATGATGCCAAAATGACATCTGAGAGCCAGCAGTGTCTCGTTCTTGGAAAGCTGAGTAGAACAAAACAAACAGAGGGCAAACCACAATCTGGAGCGACTCTTAAATTCAGCTTGTTTTCAACTTCCAGTAACCCCATGCTTAAGCTGAATCCATCACACTGAAGTAAGGGCCTACACGTGGATTTTCATTATGATCTCCCTGCTGCCAAAACAGGTTGCCAACTCTGTCTAATTAACAAGCTACTCATGGTCCATGTGATTTCTGTTGTTCAATTGGAGTACTGCAGTGTGAATCTCAACAAAAGCAAACACAAAACATAGATTTAAAAAAAAGATAATAACAAAGCAACTATTCCACTAGTGACGATCAAAGAAAACATACGGTGTTAAAAAAGCGTTATCACACCCTCAAAAAAGAAAGAAGAAAAAACACATTAAATCAGGCTGTGATATGAAAAGAATGATTCAAAGCTTTGATCCAGGAATCCCCAGGTGGTTGGGATGGACTGAGCCACAGTCTGTCTGCTGACTGTGGACTGAAGCCTCAGCTGAGTCAAACACAGCAACCGTACCGCACAATCCACCACAGCTTGAACCAAATCCCACCCAAGCCCAACTAAACAGGTGGCATGAGGAAAATAAGGAAAATCAAGTGTACATTTGTGAAGTTGTTTTTGTAGGCAGTGAAAGAACAGTAGGGTTTCTTAAAGGTGGGGTAAGCGATTAAAGTTAATGCGATTCAATCATATAAGAACGTTTTTTTATTATTCTGCAAATATATGCCAGCTTTCCACTCTGTGTGTGTGCTGAAAAAAATTGGTGGCTGTACAGAGCCCTGGCTCTGTAAATGTGAAACAAACATCGTGGCTCACAAAAGTAACTTTTTATTCCAGCCATTCCAGCCAGGATTTGTGTGTCAGGTAACGTTAAATGACTCGCCCACAGACATTCAACTTGCTGTCTATTTTGCAGAAACATGATGTTGTTGTGATGTTAGTAGAAGGAGAATTTCGAGTATTGAGCTGGTGTGCTCACAATGGGAAACCGCCTCGTCCTCTCTGCATGTTAGTTGTGCAGCAGAATCTGTAGCAGCGGTTTGCTAACCCAAAAGGCAACTAGCTATGGTTCGTTCACTATGTTTGCATTACTTGCTGCGTTGTTGTTGGCACTATATCATGGTATTGGATTTCTCCAGAATCGCTTACATCGACTGTAGTAAGGAGTAAAGGTTGATCCCATTTTCAATTAGAACAAACCTCACCGTTATGTAGTGGAGAAGTATTTGTGCGAGTGGATCCCTGCCTCCCTCACCGCCTTTGGTATTATTTAATAAAACATAATTTCACCTTCTCGCATATCTCTCAACCTCTGAATCATAGACAGCTCCTGCCAGCACCTGAGTTTTTCTCTGTCGATTACCCTACCCCTCTTCTCCATCTTCCCCACAGTGCTAATATGCTTTACTGTGTCACCCTGACCCTTTTCTTTTAATGCATGAACTGTATCTCTTCCGTCCAGGTAACTGTTAAGTGAATTTGTGAAATAAATTCACTTAGCTCCTGTGTGTTATTCTCCAGTCACAGAGCCACAGATCTGCTGAAAAAGACATTGAATTCCAACCAAACCTTTCAACACTTTTTCCATTAAACTCCTTTACATCTCCGCACAAATGTGGACACCGGGCATAAACATAATGGCTGCAAGTAGTCATCACGTGACTTGCTGTATGTGAAAGGGGTCGCTCACAGTGATGAACCCACAGAGACTCATCAGGTCCCCTCGACTGTACAGGCTTTATAGCAACTTTGAATTTACTGTTTTGGTCTTCAACATTTCTGTTTTGGGTCACTGTCATCACTCCCATAATGTCAGTGCACTGCTGCAGGCAGCTGTTTTCAGTGATGGAATGTACATTTGCTCTTTACAGGTACTTTTCTTTTTATGCCACTTTCTACTTCTACGCCACCACATTTCAGAGAGAAATATTATACTTTAGTACACCTTTAGTTACGTATCCTACATTTCTATTTTTGCATACAAACCTACAAAGAGCTCATCAAATATTATGTCTATATGTCAAGTACAGCAGAAACGATTGGTCAATTAATCAATTAGTCAACGTGAGTAATGATGATCTAACAATATAACAGGCATTTTTCTGCATGGTAGTACATTTCCTTGATTATATCTACATACTGTAACTTACTTACTTCTTTTACTTTAAAGCCGCTGTGATGAACTTGTAGTGCTTCATTGATTTCAAGCTGAATATGACTGAATCCAACCCAATGGCATTAAGAATAACTATATAGAAATAGCCTATCTACTCACTGATGGTCTTTTTTGCTTATGTAGGTCATATAGATGCATCACAGGAAGCAACAGTATGGTAACAGTACTTTTATTAGACTAAAAGATCTGAATACTTCCTCCCATCACTAAGAAGCCACAATATTGGACTTCACTTACCAAGTAGCCCAAAATTGCTCTGTAACTTTGAATGAATTAATAAATAAATACATTTTATCTGCTGGATATATAAACAGGCAACTGTTTTCTAGCAAATTCAACATCTCAAATGTATGAGGTGCCCCTGGACTTATTTTGAGTCATGTTGAATGCAGTTTTTGAAAGTCACGCGTTATTCTGGAATTGCTCAAAAAATGTCACTTGCAGCCACTGAGACACTAAAAGAGAAGACAATTTAGCAAAATGTGTGCTCCGTTATCATAAGTCATGTTTCAACTCAGGCCCAACATACCAAAACAATTCCCCTTTCTATCAATCCAGCTGTGTTTGTAATTTACCAACGCAGGGAGGGAGCAGCAGAAAAGATACTCTAAGCCCTTCTGCTTGGGTGACTCAGGAGGATCCAGAGGGACAACGGCAGCTTTCAATTAATACAAGAAATTGCAGTAAGGTCTAACAAGGATTTTTACAAGCAACTGCAGCTTTCCCACCTCTGGGAACAGCTGGAGATACTGTGGAGACTTAAAACAATACATGGATAGTATTTTTAACTGGTGATGTCAACTTTGATCCAACTTTTGCCTCCTTCTCATTTTGATCATTCCGGCCTTATTGTAGTAGTCGTTAACATTCACTGCTGCTCTAAATATTCACAAATAAGATGCGTTGAGGGGGATCATGTGCTTCTGTATGTGATGCAAGACTCCACTGACAATTCACAGACGTCTTCTAGATGTCTCTGAGCCTATGGTATGATGTTGATGCAGAGCATGAGCACAAGTCTCCAGCATCTTACCAATTCTGTTTAATCACATTTACGCTTGGTGATATTATTTGTCATTCTGACTAAAATTCAATTAAGCCAGCCTGTCTCCTCTATTAGAACCTAACCACACCAAAACATGCGAGAAAAGTCGATTAAAATGAACCTCATCACTCTGCTGTGCTCCCCTGCTTTTGAAATGATTCTTTCACAGTGTATATTCAGAGCTCAGAAATGGAAATGCAGACACAGTTAACTATGTCTACAATGAGGGTAAACTGAAATACAACCAGAGGTACAGCACCAGCCTCGACTATGAATTAGATTTAGAGAATCTTATTTTATGGTATTAACATCCAATTTTGTTTGAGTATTCCACACTCCACCACATTCCTCTCTTGTATAAGTTGGTTGGAAAAGCAAGAAAACTGGC